TAATATAAATAATTGGCTATTTCCAACAAAATATTAAGAAGTGTTTTCAATACAGCTATGGTTGTGATCCTTGTCAACAGATGCACCAAAATATTGCTGTGGTAAAAGTGATACTAATCTGGACATCTTATATTAGATACTGATATAATAACCTGTATGAACTTTTTTTTTTTAAATCCAAAATCAAGACAAATATAGAATAACATCATATAGTAAAGTGACTATTGCATATATTGAAACTGATACCAAGCAACGTGACCACTTTCAGAAAAGTCAGGTGTTACAAATACTATCTTGGAAAACTGTACTACAAAAATGCTTCCAGATAGATTGAAGGCAAAAGGACAATGTATTTACTGTGACTTACTGAGAAAAACAATTCTTTAAAACTGTCCAGAGAAAGAGTTCCACTTCTTTCAATTAGCCCCATGAAAAAAAGTCATATCAGAAAACACAGAAGAATATACTTTAATAAATGACAATTTGTTCTGCTTGGCAGCACTGGACTAATGTAAATCAAGAATCTTGATATTCTAAGCATATATTTTTCCACACAGCATATCTTAACTTTGCACTTACAGATGCAAGAATGATATTAGCAGTTAAACACATTCTTAATTTAACTTCAGCAACATATAGATTACCATATACTCATATCAGCAAGACCATTTGAGAAGTGGTATTTTAGAGACAGTTCCTGAATAAAAATCAATGGTTTTAAAATTTTGAAAGTAAGTTTAAGTACAAAATGAACTGAATAAACTCAACAATTGAACAAATAGTTATTTTTGCTCTGATATGGAAAGTTGCTCGACCTAAAAGATCTAATAAACTGGTATAAATGACCTTGGAAGGATATGTTATGCTTAAGCAATTTTAACAAGCTTTTAATATAAAAGACATCTAAAAAAATCCAATTAATACAGTGGCAAATAATATTATCCGTTTCACAAATTATGAGCTTATGTAGGAAAGCCATCCAATATCTGACAATAAAAATAACATAAAATCTTTTCCAATGTCTAATAATTTCTTCTCAGAGAAAGAAAATTCTGAGCTTTGGAAACCATCTTAATTCTGTATGTTTGATCAAGCTTGTCCCTGTTCTCATTTATAGCAAACTTTCAATCATTTTAAAGATGCAGTCTTAAGCATACTGCACAATAGAAAAATGTAGAATTTGTACCCAAATCAAAACCACGCTTGCTATCCCTGGATAGATAGACATAAATGCGCTTTTCGTGGTTGCTGCTGTTTGACTAAAAGCTGATGAAAAACTAATGAGAATTCTGGGCTAGTAGGTCAATTAAACAGCAACAGAACTGACTCTGTAGGAGGCTCAGAAATATGCAATTGCTTTCTCCAGCTCCCTACTTGTCTTATCCCCTGCTCTACACAAACCAAGCTCTGAATAAAAATCAGAACTCACCCAACACTTTATATATGGACATCAGTGGGATATTTAGTTTCACTCTCAATACCAGTTACACTGGTACAGATATTAGACTGCCTGGAAAGCTGCCTAGCAGAAAGGGACCTCGGGGTGTTGATCAACAGCAGCCTGAATGTGAGCCAGCAGTGTGCCCAGGTGGCCAAGAAGGCCAACAGCATCCTGGCTTCTGTCCGAAATGATGTGGCTGGTAGGACCAGGGAAGTGATTATGCCCCTGTACTTGGTACTCGGGAGGCCACAGCTTGAGTACTGCATTCGGTTTTGGGTATGTCAATACAGGAAAGACACTGAGGTTCTGAAGCGTGTTCAAAGAAGGGCAACAAAGCTGGTGAAGGCTCTAGAGAACAAATCTTATGAGGAGTGGCTGAGGGAAATGGGGTTGTGTAGCCTGAAGAAGAGGCAGCTAAGGGGAGACCTTATCACCTTCTAAAACTACCTGAAAGGAGGTTGTAGTGAGCTGGGGCAGGATCTCTTCTCAGAAGTAACAAGTGATAGAACAAGAAGAAATGGCCTCAAGCTGAGCCAGGGGAGGTTGTGGTTGGATATTAGGGAAAACTTCCTCACCAAAAGGGTCATCTACCATTGGAACAGGCTGCCCAGGGAAGTAGTGGGAGTCACCACCCCTGCAGGTACGGTATTTAAAAGATGTGTTGATGAGGTGCTTAGGGACATGGTTTAGTGGTGGACTTGGTAATGTTAGATTAACAGTTGGACTTGATGACCTTAAAGGTCTTTCCCAACCAAAATGATTCTATGTTTCTATGATTCCATGAAGATGGAAGACTAGTACCAGTTCTGTCAGCCTAAACCAGAACTGAAATACCAAACAACAGTACTGTGTGATTCAGCTTCCTACATAAAAATTGATAGTGCTTTCATGTGGACCCAAAAACTGAAATTAACTAACAGCAATGGGGAATAAAAGTACCTGCAATAACCTCAAAATGAGAGCACATCAACTTCACAGAACAGACCCACACATAAGTACAAAAATAAGGTTTAAAAGCTTCGTTCAAAGAGTATAAGCATAGAATTAAAGTAGTTCAGGTAATCAAGCAAAGCATCATAAATGCAGTGCACAAGGCAAACATTTTAATAGCTGACAATGTTTCTTGTATGAGATACTGGCACTACTAAGTAGCGCTGTTTAAGCAAAGCAAACATATGTCTTTTCATCTTTTGAGAAGATAGGAATTTAAGGAAAAGAAATGAAGTGTCACCTAAAATTATAACAAGAACAAAGCAAATAATACATGATATCTGAGCCGAGGAACAGTTTAAGACAGATTATCACTTCAAAGGGGCATATCAAGCTCTACAGCTAGTACAGAACTGAACCACTAACTCCTATGAAATAAGGAGAGCTTCGAATTAGTAAATTTGAATCTAAAAATAAAACAAGCTTGGTGAGCTATTCTCTGCCTCTTCTTAAAAACAGAATTTTACATGGTAGGACTGTTAATGTTTCAGAGTAATACAGTTCAGTACATACAAGTAATCCTTGTACAAAACTGGCAAGCAAATTTGTCATTTGTACTAAATTCTAGACATTGGAAAGGAAGCGATGAGTTAAATTTCCTTCAGATGTAAATACAGCAGTTGCTGACAATGCAGAACAGTATTACAGTGAATTATGGTTGAATAAATCTCACAGAAGTGTTAGATAAGCACTTCTATGAATTCAAACTTACAGGAACATAGATAAGTGCAAGAAAAATGCAACAGAAAAATGTTCAATAGTATTGTTTGAAAAAACATCCAATGTAAAATAAGTAATGCAATACAGTATACTTCATAAGCTTTTAACACTGGTAAAAATCAGAGCTTTAAATTACAACTATATTGATCAGTGATACCTTACATAAACTGGGAACCTGATGATCCTGCATCTATACTTTTTTTAATTCTTAGAGTCTGACTAGTTTTACTTACTGACAGACATAGCTCCAAGGAGGTGAAAGTATAGACAGATAAGAACAAGGAGAGACAGGTGAATCAGAAGTACAAAATAATTTAACCCAAGTCCGTAATGGAGTAAAACCTGAAAAGAAGGTATGTATGTTGCCTAATACAGTAGGTTAGCATCTAGAACTTAAAATCATTTCTACCATTATTTTCATTATTTAGTTGTGTATCTTAACACTCCCAAACTAGTATTTTCTCAGACAGGATATGAGTTCTCACCTAAAACTGAGACAAGACGGCACAAATTCAGAAATAAAGGGATATTCTAAAATTATTTGACGTAGAGTATGCTTCAGAAACAGGTTTTTAAGATGGGCAATGTATATAAAACTGGATACAGTAAAAACTAATTTGTTACAAATGGTGCTTTTTCTATGCAGTATTTCTCCTTGCTGTCACTCCATAGGAAGGTATAAATTTAACACTGCAAGGCAGTAATGAAAAACCCTACTTTTTATAAACAGTGTTTTACAAAAGTTATTTATTACATTATCAATTCTACTTCTGCATAACAAAGTTGAGAGATGGAATAATTTCATTTTATTACATGAATGTGCTAATACATTCCTGACAAAAAGCAGATCAGCAACCAAATTCAAACTATAATTTTTTTGTTATTCCAATTACATTGTGACACAAAGGAAGATTAGAATACTTTTTCTTTCTTTAGGACATAAGCCAGTCTCCTTTAACTAGTGATGGTCAAAGATGAAAATAGCTCAATAATCTACTAATTATGAAGAAGCTTCCTGACCACTAAGTTTACTTCAAGTTTTGTAGATCCCAACCCAACAACCTGCTTGAAAAGTGGTAAATAACAAAATGGTGGAAAATAGCCAAGGTCCTCTTCACTTTCCCAGCAGCCAAAGAGAGCTGCTTCTTCTGAAAACTGATGAATGCTTGCTAATTTGTGAGCAGGCAGAAGCAAATAAGATAATTCTTTCAAAGACAACAGTAGCAGGACATAACAGTAATTTTGGCTGTAGTAAACTAGTGGTAACAGTTTAGTAAAGCTGGTAAAGAATTTAAGTTTAAGGAGCAGAGACACAGGAAAAAAGCATTCTGTTAAAGTTCAGTGGACAAATTACAGGCATGACAGAAAATAGTACAAGGCACATGAAAATATTTGCCATCTCCTTTTCTAACTAAAGGGATCAAGGAAGGAAGATAAGAGGTTACAGACCTCAAAGGACTGTGTAAATAGAGCCTGAAAAGAAAACAAACTTGCTTTTCACTTTATGAGGGAACACATTTCTACAAAGACACAATATCCATTTACCTTTGGGCCACAGAAACTGTTTTTTATGAAACATTTTATAATGTATTCACTACAGTTGTGAGATTGATCAAGAGAATTTTGAAAAACACAGTCACTAATTTAATTGCTCATATCAAAGATGGTGGCACTTTCTACACATCTGAAATTCCAAAAGAAACTCTGATTGCGACTGGAGACTTAAGACACTGACAGACTGTCAGACAGTGCTATGGAACTGCAATTATTTGCTATTGTAGGCTCACTGTAGGAAGTGACTGTCTATATAATGTTTCCCCTCAAAATAAAGTTACAAGAAACAACTCACCACTTGTCCATTCTGAGGATTTTTATGTGCATATGGGGGTCCACGGATGTGATTCCACATCTGACCAGATGTCATTGCAAATACAACACACTAGAAAAAACAGAAAAATATACTAATTTATTTATTCAGAGGAATGGAATAGAAGATGATTCTGCTAGTGATGCTTGGGTTAGATACATAATTGTTTGCCTAACCAGATATAGTATCTAACTCTATTTTGATTTTTTTGATAGGGTTTTCAGATGTGTTGCTCTCATAAAATTCTTTATGACTATTAGAAAATTAGTTAGCTCAAGACAGATTTTCAAAATCTCACTTGAAATAACCCTGTCTTTACGAGCACTTGGAATTGCCACATTTAAATATATATACAGCAAGAAGTACTCATAGCAGAAGGCATTAATTGCAAGTATTTTGCAAACTAGTGTTGAAGATTTATACAACTTTTCATTAAGCTATTTCTGCCTCTAATTCAATACAAATGTTTAGTTTACTGGTTTACTTTCAGGTATATGAAATGATATATAAAACTGTAAAGAAAAAATTCATTTTAAAAAAACGTCTGTTCCATTTTATGAAATTCTCATTGTGTGTCCTGTATGACTGACTGTGATTCATTTTAGCTATGACAAATAACAGCAGTTGAGTTGGCAGAAAACTGAAATTCCCTATGGAAAGAAGTGTGAAGTTAGTTATGGATGTATGACATGTAAAAACAGACATTAATTCTTGCAGAAGGTCACACTGTTGAAAGAGGAAAATATACTCTCTTTTAAGTACCAAATGAGAAAAACAGAAATGGGAAACCTGGCTCATCTAAATATATCTTCTGACTTACTAGTACAGATAATCCTTACAAGAACTTTAAGATAACTTAAGTACAGTTTTAACATATATGCTTATTTTTACCAGCATAGTATAGTCATAGTAATTCAAGCAGCTGGATCACAAATGCAAAAAATTCATACCGTGATGGTTTATGAAAACTCTTTGAAGCATTTTTTTTACAAAATGTTTACTTGTGAAATAGAGTTAAGCTAATGTAGCTCTATAATCCCACAAACGCAGCTTTGCCACAACAAGCAATAGGATTGAATAAACTTTGCAAGGCCCTAGGACTGAATCTTGTCAGGCTTTATTCAAATCTGTCTTGGCTTTCCTGGATTATTAGTTTTTGAAAACTTGTTTATCTGAAATGCCATTTTTTTTCCAAAGAGCATATGGCTATGTATAGCTTACATTACTTTTGCCTATCTTACTATTCTTTTTAGGATGAAATAATTATGACTAACATACTGATGTAGTATAGGAATGGAATGACAGCAGAGACAACAAAAGTAAAAACACAGGATGCAGTGTACCAGTATTGAACGATATGAAAGGGGGCATGGGACTACAGTGGAGACACCAAGCCTATAAACATTATGTCAAGGGTTAATTAAAAGAAACTTAGATATGTGAGCTGGTCAAAATCAGTTTTAGGAGTAACAAAGAGAACAAAGGAGAAGTATCCAATGTATCTAAGACCATCCCTATTTACACAGTGATTTTTGTTGTAAAATCTAGTTGCAGATCAGTGAAGGAATCACAAGGTGTAAAAGTAGCCCTAAGTGGATCCTAAAGCAAGGAGGAAGAAAGCAGCAGCGTCATACTCTTCCCAGCAAAGAATCTGGAAAGCTAACAGCTCACCATAACACCCCACTGTTCCAGACTGAATCCAGTGAATGATCTCAAGATCCAGACAGAAACTGGAAAAGTAACCACGACATCAGAGAAAGGCAAAGATACTAGGAAGTGTGTGCATAACAATTTAAATTGTGGTGTTATTAAGACTTTTTGTGCTTGTAAAGAAAAGAGAAAGAAAATAATGAAAAAAAATTCATATCCAGTTTAATAATAATTCTTTGTTGTAGTTTTAAGATTTCAATTACACTAAGAAGATATGGCTTTTAATATACGGTGTGTTTCATTTTGCCCTTAACAGGATTTGGAATGCAACAATATAGTCATTAATACGGCAGATGAAAGCATACTGGTAGCGATTATTAGCAGATGGATTATGTTTTAATTAATAATATGCAAAGAAATGAAGAGAGTATATCCTTCCATTATTGGAAAACTGTAATAGTTATTTCTATACCTTGCAGATCGTTCTATCAGAGAACTTTATGCTGCAATTTTGGTGATGAATCACACAGGATATAGCTTATGGGAAATTACAAAAGTGCAGAAACTGAAAATGTGGGTAACAAAAGTAAGGTGAAAGATATTTTGAAAGGCCAAAAGTTAGCTGAAAAGTAAAACATTGAAAGAGAAGAGATGCATAAAGTACACAAACTATGGCTCTCAAAGTGAGTTTTCTATGAAAAGTCATTTTACTCATTCATAAATTACTGTACTTAATTTACATTATTGAGGGCAAATTCTGCTTCCATATGAAAAGATTTAAAAAATCACCTTAGTTTACATACAGTCATATGCTTTATAATAGGTAAATCTCTCAAATCACTACTGATTTTTAATGATTTTTCAATACAAATACATTATCTCACAACATGGTAATGTCAAACAAGAAAAACCTAGGAGACATAAAAGTGGGGAGAGACAAAGTCCAAATATCAATATACTGAAAAGGAAAGAGTTAACAATATGGTTGTTTATCCTGAAGGCATCTTTCATAGTCTTCCAGTTCAGACTGTTAGTGACCAAGAAAAATAACTTGGTACACAACATTCTGGATCTGCCCTAATTTCCTTCCATCATGTACCTCTTTACTGTGTATTTCAAAATGACCTTTTCAGAAGCCAAAAAACATTCTCTGGCTTCTCCCTCATCCTATTCCACTCTTTGTTCATTTTAAGTATCCTAAGAGGAAAGCATTTCCATCATATACCTCAAGCATGCATTTGGTATGCTACAGGTAGCACCTGACATTCAAGCTCACTTTGCTATTCTCCTACTACGATCATCCAGGTTAAAAGGGAAAAAAAAAAGGAAAAAAACCCCAGATTCCTACTGTTTGCAAAATACCCTTGAAATATCCACCATTATTTGTAGAAGAGATGCATGCATCTGTGATACACGATAGATCACGTTGGTACACCATGTTTACCATTCCAAACCCCATAGTTTGCATAGAATCCCACGCTTTGGGATCCAAAATTTCCAAAACACCTAGTTCACTACCAGTTTCTGAGAGTTGGTGTTTCTGAGGACAAAACTTCACCAAATTAATTTCTACAAATAATCAACTTGTAGCATGACTAATGACTTCATGTTTACCTTATAAAGGGTTAACATTGTGTTCATTTCAATGGTACAATGCATATGCAAAGTAATGGTCCCTTTCCACAGTATTCTTGGATCTTGTCCAAGTATAAAGGATGAAAGCTGGAGAACAGAAGATTCAAGCTGAGGCCCTTTCCTCTGAGCTCTTAGAAAGATTTTCAACTCCACTTATGCAGAGTAGAGTCTGTACTTCAACAGGTCCAAGTACCAAAGACACACCTCACCCACCCGCTCGTTTCTTTCTCTTTGTCACACTCCAAGAAGAACACTTTAACTGCTGCATGCTGCCTGAATGATTAAGTGAACTCAGGGTTAAGCTATTTTAAGAGCTTCCATATTTAGGTATCTTATTCTGCAATGAAATGACAAAAGCAAACACAGCAGACCTACATTATTGCCTGGTATAGTAGAGAGAGGGCAGGAACGCTGATTTGCTACAACACATTGTGGTTCCAGGACCAAACTTCCACAGGATGTCTTCAGTGGCAATGAAATTCACACCTATTACCAGTTGTAGGTGTGTACACTCTGTGTGTAGACAGGACAGCTCAAGGAGCTTGTTAACTAATTGCAAGTGGTGCTTTCCTGATGGCTTCACAGTGCATGACTTCAGCCTTAGCCTCCCAAAGAGGGAAGCTGCTTTGAGCTCACCTGTGGTGCACCAGCACGTGTACCACAAGGCTCCTAAGAACAGACACAAGGTAAATAAGCACCAAGAGTCTCACCAGAGCACTGAAATGCTAGCAAGACACAACTTTACAGATACGTGGGCAGAATTTTTTGACTGTTCCTGGTCTTGCAGGCTTTGTCAAATTTGGTTTAATACAAACTTGGGTTTAATACATCACCTTCTCAAAGGTGCAAGTTTTGTTTAATGCTATCTGCCAGGTTGTTAAACAAAAATACTAGAGACTTAAAAAGCCATCTGGTATGTATTTTCAAATGAGGCTTCCTCCTATCAAGTACTATACAAAGCAGATCATTAGATTTCTCTCTGCAAGTTTAGAACCCAGAACTTGGCAAATAGTTTAACACAAGAAAAATAATTCTAGACACATTTATAGTTAAGTTCAAGCACGTTTCAAAAAAATAAAAAAAAAGGGGAGACAGAGGCAGCCAGTTCTGTACTTAATTTCTATATAATTCTGTGCATGTAAGTTGTAGCCATTGCACAATTATTGTTTTATAGAAATATCATCCTTTCTGTCTGGTTTAACTTTGCTTTTGTACTCAGTGAAGCCTCCAGAGCTTCAAGATCTGTACTCAATTTTTAAATAACAATCCATCACTTCTTAGGGTCTCTAGGAAGAGATATACAATTCAATGACAGGGAGTACAACACAGAAGCAAAGAGAAAGGGTTTCTGTATCTTTAAAAGATATTGTGCATCTCTAAAACCTCTAACTACGGGGAGAAAAGGAAATTAATAACCTGCACTTATTGCTGTTCTTTTGAGATGCCTATCTGCTCACACAGAGGAGCCTGACTTTTTCTAGCTGTATCTTTGAAAAAAACACATTACTTTTTTGTCCTCATTCCCAGAAGGGAGTAAAGAAGCCTCCAGTAGCCACAATACCCTTCAGGCTCTTTTGGAGCAATAACTCATGATGTATACACTGTAAGGTATAGGTACTGTGGAGTGTATCAGCACAGAACACATTTCTCATAACCATTAACTGTCACAACAACAGTAAACACGTGCTTTGTCTTCTCATTCAAGTGACTCCACATATTTTGCCCAATAGAGTCAACTCCTAGGCAGATGCCTTCTAATTTGAGCATAGACTTTGCCTTCCCAGAGTCCACAGGTGTACAGGCAAATACGAAATATACACATAAAATAAAACTGAAAATTCCATGTAGAAGACCACAGTGGCAGCCTGGTAAAGAAGACACTTTAAAAAGCCCCCTTTTTATGTAGCCAGCATTCTCACTGATCAAACAAACTCTTAGCATCAGTACTGTTGCAGCAATTCCTTATCTAAATTGTTATGGATATGCCCAGTTTATACCATCTGACCTTTTAGTCTCTCTGCTTAAAGAATGAAGAGTCTTGACAAGATTCTGAATTGCTTCTTGTTATCAGTATAAACGGACAGGACTGGAAATATCTAAGGATTGAAGTCCTTCCTCATCTTTGTGCTAGCATGTCAGAAGGAAAAATATCCATAGATGAAAAGTAGGATTTGAATTAAACTCTAAAATAATCCAGGGAATAAATTTTGGATAACACATCAAAAGACATCTTTTGGGATATTATGTACTGTGACTCGGTCATCCTGGTTTGCCGTTCTAAAAGCCTTCTGGGTAATGTTGCAAGTAAAAATGCCTAAGGCATACAAGATACTACCAGAGTCTGCAGTGATTCCAGGGGATCAAACTGCTAATAGCATTGCTATTGCACGATCTCATACGGAGGACATGGCCAGTTCAACAGTCCTGTGCAAACTGGCATTGGAATCAATGTGGGAGATGAAAGCTCTGGTTTTGGTTCTGAAAGTATATCAAAATTATTAGATGTATCACTAAATATTACATTCCTAAATATACTCCTACAACACTGACGGAAATATTAGCTATAAGACAACTTTCAGGTATCACTGGAGATATCAAATAAAAATGCAGTCCACATTTCTGGGATTCTCTGTTCTCCTGCTAGTAAAAAAAGCACAGGCATTTACGCTGAGAACTTTTTTGTAGTTTTTAGGAACAGATCTTTCAATCAGGTGGAGAGGCGCTGTCAATTTTTCATTTAAATAGACAGTATCCAACATATGGAAGCAAAAATGGTCTTCAAAACAAGCTAAGAACCTCTGGAAAATAAGCAAAAGAAAAAAAGACACAGTCTGCAATGATAGACTTTTCAGTTACTGAATGTGAGGATATCTATGAAAGAGCTTCCTTGAAATTAAAAATGTTATTTTTGTTATTGAATGCTGGCTATCTAGCAGTACAACATCTCCCCAAAACCAATACAAACCCAAACCTACAACTCTTAGACAAAAGCTTTCTCAACTGTGCAACACCTGTTAAAAGAACTGCCAATAAGGAACAAAATAATTGCCAACAGTCCTGACAGAAACATGAGCTTCCTGTAGTATATATATATCTTGCCAGGCTTTCTCTGCTTAATTTGGGTTTTTCTAAGTTCAAAAATAAAAAAAAAAAAAAATCTTGAAGAATATAATTCTTTAAAATCAAGCATTTATTAGTTATTTATATTGTTCATAAACGCATTTGATTAGGCATGACTCGCTCCCCTTCACTAGACATTATCTTGTCCATTTTTCCTTTTAATGAGGTTTTATGAAAAAAGAAGCTTTAAGTTTTATGGGTAGAAAGAAAGCACCATGTAAGGGAATCATAACTACACAATATCTTAGAATGAATAGATTAATAACTGTCCATTTTATTCTATGGATCTTGACATATTCTAGTTGTTTTACTGAAGTTAGGTCATCCATGTAAAAGCCTACAATCTGGCGTCCCCACTGATTCCGCCAAAAAGAACTTGTAACATTAACTTGTATGTCCACATAGACCTGAATAAAACCAAATGGACTTCTGGTAACTGCGAGACCTTTGCTAAAATATCATTTTGCAGTATAGGGCTCTGACAACATTGTGAAGGCAAAAGAACAGTACTGATAAAAAGGGAAGCATTGGCTCAACACCATGATTAATCACCATATACTTTCAGATATAAGACCTTTTTCTAAAAGAGCCTCTAAGTGATATTTGTCTTTAAAGCAAATAGAACTTTACAGGAAACAGTATCAGCAATGATAAATGGCATTAATGCCATTTTAATTCCTTTTAACTAGATTACTGCTTGTCAATACAATCAGCAGGGTGACAATTACTGAACAGGATTAATACCATTTCTTTAAATGTTTGATCACATTTGGACATTGGGCCCATCCACAGAGATTCAGTTAAATGTGACTAAGTTTTCTACAATGCAATTTACAGTTACATTCAGGTGTAAAATGTCCAGTTGCTGTTCAGGGGAAGAGCAAGCAATTTAAGAAAGACTAACATGTTAATTTTCTTAATTTAATTAGGAAGTAAATTATGTCTTCAACTATCTATTGAATGCAGATTATATTATATGCAGCTTCTTGATATGAAGGACTGATTTTTAACCTCTGCTAGACAAAACAATTCCCTAAAACATTCAAAAATTAAACTTCTGATCTGAAACCCTGAGGTATGAAATTGGAATAAAATTGCTATCTCCAGAGATAGAGTGCATGGTTAAACAAAGGAAATACCACTGATTATATATCTTTATTTAATTTTGACACAAACATCTATTATGGTGTGCTAAATATCGCTTTACTCAAGTGATGTCTGAAGATCAGGAGTCCAAAAAAAGTCATACTGATACAGATAATATTTGAGCTTTCCGGTGGCAGTGCATCTTTTAAAAGCATTTTAACTGAAAAATACTGGTAATCTAGAAAAATATATGGAAGTAAATATGACAGACATACTTTGGAAGAGAACTGTCACTGTGCTAGAGGTCAGGATACTCCAAATAACATCCTGGAAAAAAATCCACATTCTGCCCCTGGTTCTCTACATCAAAAAGAAATATCATTCTACTCAAAATCTAGTGCTGTAGGTGGTTGATTTGAAACCTTAATCTTTATCCCTTCCTCAATGTATGGGGTAGACAAACTGCTTAAAGAATGTATGCCATGTAAACTAGTAGGAAATGCTATGATAGCACATGAGAGAAAACAGGAATAGCAGTAGCTATTACTCAAAAGTAACTAATCTTAAGAGTTTGCTTTAAGAGCTTGTCAATCATTTAGGTTCAAAAATTAATTACAGCACAACAGGTACCTACCATGTAACTTCATCTTTGAACTGATGTAATTCAAGGCTGCCAATGGAAAGTATCACAAATAAGGTATGTTCTCATATTGTTGAATTGGGGCAGAACAGCAAACCATCAATATCACATGGCTTTGAAAAGGCAAAAACAATTATAGGGCATATTCAGTAACTTACTTCTAGCAAAGCTAAAGTACACAGAATCGTAGAATAACCCAGGTTGGAAGGGACCTCAAAAGACTATCTGATCTAAGCTTTCCTTGGAAAAAGAGCCTACAGTTTTTAATAGTACTGTTCTCAATTAATATATTATTAATACAAAAGGAAGGGGCTCTGTTAAGCTGTAAAATATGGGCTTGGACTTGATAACCCTAGACATTATTCCAGTGTTGATAACCATGCCCCTGACTCTGTGTCCCTGCAAATTAGCAGCCTTAGATGCTGCTCCTCAGGTTTTAACTTTTCTGTCAGTTACAATGATGGCAGAGTACTTGATACACCTTAACCATCATCTAACTAACCTTGCATGCTATTTCCTATCTAAAACTGAAACAGCTATGCTGCACAGTCCATATTTTTCATCAGCCTACTCAGTTATTTGAAAAGTATGATATAAATAAACACTGTAATACAGTATTAAGCATGTTAAACCTTAATGCATTATTTATGGCCTTGAGGATTTAGAAGACTAATATTTCAAACAGGCTGAGTAAATTCTAAAATTAGTCAACCCGCTAAGATTGTCCTATTCTCATGTAACTTCACAGTGGAATATTAAGGCCAGTACTACTTAAACCAGTTTTGGAAAGGATTCCACTATTTTCTTTGTTTCTTAGTTCTTTTATAATTTTTCTTACAAACACATAAAAGCCTTTGTTACTTTTCTTAACCTTTCATTACTGTCTTTACAGTATAGTATGCAGTGTATATATAAAATGCAGTCTGACATTAATAGCCACACTAAACCAATCATAACATTACTGCTTTTACAAAAACAGGCAAGTTGAACAATAGCAGTGAACGTTAGTAACACTTCTTATTAGAAATATTTTCTTGTTGAAGTGCAAACAAAAATCTGCAGCTATCAGAGAATCTGCTAATTTTCAGTGAATCACTTGTACTGATACTCACTGCTTACGACTATTAGCCCCAAAATCTAGATTATGACTCTTTGTCTCATAGTATCACCCTGAGCCATGTATTCATTCAATAGTTTTTAATTTACTGTGCAAGCAACGAAGACACATATGCTGAGATAAGAAGCTAATAAAAAGCACATTAGTAAGGAAAATCTGCATACCAGAGCTGCCATGGCCCAGCCAGTTTTGTTGTAAATGAACTCTAAGTTATTTCTTCGCAGATACAACAAGCCACCAACAAGAGATACCAGAAGAGCCAGTGCAATTGTACCAGAATAGTTAGGAGGTCTGAACACTCTAATCTGGAAAAGATAAATGAAAATAAAGACCAGATATAAATGCAAACATATAGATCATCTTCCATATAAACAAACAGGGAGCATATGAAAACAGTTTTCAGAGTCAGAAAGACTATTCTCTAAAAGTATACCTAAATAATTTTAAAAAGTAGTAATTCCTTTAATAAGCACATAATATGAAAACAGTTTAAACCATCATTTTGAACTGTTCAACTCCAAAACATTATTCCTTCAACATATTTGCAGGTTGTGTCTAAATTAGGAACAGCTACTATGGATCTATCTTGTTTGTGTACAGTTTTCAAAAGCACAAAGCATGTTTTCCTTATTAATGAAAGCACGGTTTCCTTACCAACAACTAATTATCACAATATCTTTGCTTCTTTTCATCCAGAATAAGACTACATAAAATTTAACAAACCAAGAATGGAACAGAATCTGCAAACTGCAGAAGTTACCACAAGTACAGTGACTTTTTTTTTTTTTTTTTTTTTTTGTGTATTCCAGAGCCTACACTTCAGTAAAAAAGGTATTAAGGAAAGACAAAATTTGTCACCAGCCTGTCTCAGACTAGAGAGATGCATTTGGCTTCAACTTTCAAAACTGTCTAAAGACTTACATGAACATCTGTTCTGTCAGCTATCCATTTAGCTAGCTGTTCAGCTGCAAATCCGATTCTCTGCAGGTCAAATGTGTCAGCTCTCTTGGGTTTACCTTTTGGAGGAAAATGCATGAAAGTCGGAGCAGAGTTCATATTCAGCTACAAAACCAGAAAAAAGAGCAGAAGAAAAATTAGTAACTCTATCCTCAAAAATGTTTAACTGTTTACCTTTTATGCATAAAACAACACAAAACTAATTATAATGAAAAATATTATTTGCCTCCATAAATTACTCCGTTTCATACATCTTCATGTATAGTCCTGCAAAAAGGGTATTCAGAATACTTCTTCCAGTAGATTCTTTGGGATGTTTTATTATTCAGAGTATTCCACAACTAACCCTTTCTGAGTAAGAGTATCTTATGCTTTGAACTTCTCACACACTGTAAGAACTTCCTCATAATTAGTAAAACAGAAACCCTGCACCCATCCAATCTACTAAAATTATAATTCTAAGGTAAGAATAAAGTGTTCAAATAGCCTGACATTGCTCTTCTGGCCTAGCTCTTGCTAGTCACAAGTTAACTATTCACCTTGCCTTCCACTGGCTTCAAGATAGACTATCCACTAGTGACTGACTAATCTTTTTTGAATCTAGAAAGCCCTCAATCATTAGCTTAGTCTACATAACTTGGTCTAGAAATTATATGACTTAATTCATGTGCTCATGTCACTGGAATTATTCACAGTATATAAAAAAACTCAAAAGTGATAAACAAATTTACATTTACATTTGCCACTTTAAACTTTGACTTCAGCTTTGCAAGGTGGTATAGGAGAACATAATTTTATTATAGAAAATTCCTCAGTATTCAGTCAACCTCAGAAATCGTGCAGTAAAAACATTAACAAACAGAATCAGGGGAAATGCTGAAAGATGATGCAATATGGAAATCTTAAAGTAACAAAGGTAGAGTAACTTTGTTTCGTTCCTAAAAAATTAGTTTTATCACATTACTACAACACAACATTTAATCAAGTACAGAATTGAATTTATCAATAGAAATTACCAGCTATGAAAATATTTTCCATCTAAGCAAAAAGTAGTCCTCTTCTTTAATGAACTGATTTGGAAACAAAAAAATATTCTGAGACAGGATAAGACAAATGTTGTGAAATAGTTTAATAAAATATTTTATAAGATACAGAAACATTCTGAGATACAGAAACCTGACATTGTGTAGAGTTTGGGGCAGCTTGTCTTTAATTGCTTTGTCATTTCTCTAATGACAAACAAACAGAGACAAGAAGTTGAAAAATCAGTGTCACAGACTTTTTGCAGGTTTTTTTCTATGACATCAGTATTATATGACCTGTTTGCACACATAAACATAAGGTCAGAAATATATTACCCCAAAATCCACCTTACAAGAGTCATTAGTATCACTTCTTATCACTGTTTCTTTGACAGTAAAATCCTTCTGTACTTTATTTAATTTGGTCCAACTTTTACATGACTTAAAATGCATATCACCTGTAATAAACTGAAACTGTGTCCTTTTGCACAAGGAGTAAGTTGGACTGGACTATTCTAATATGTATTGACTGGCTTAAGGAAAAATCAATTAACATATTTTGTATTATTTTAACACTGTAGGATAATGTAGTATGATTTTAAAGCCTATTTGAACTAAAATTTTAAAATCAAAATCTTAATCCATTAACACCCATTCTTTACACAAAACATTCTAAGATGCCAGTTGGAAATAAACAAAAATTAAACTTTTAAAATTAAGTCTTTAAAAAATAAATATTAAACTTTTCCCTTAAAAATTTTAAAGCACACACTTCACAAAAAGGTGCCTAAAAATACAGAGAACTTCAAACATTGTCACTCCTCTTAATCTGCATTTTAGCTTCAATAAACAGATAAATATCAATCAGTATTTATTATTAATTTTCAAGTGATGTGTTTTGCCTTGACTACTCAGTTCAAGAGGAGGCCCTAGACTGTTCTCCAACAATGGATTTTTCACTCATCACAACCAATATATAAAATCTATACTAGTCTCTTCTCTATTCCCTGAAAAGCTTCCAAGCTAATAGAAATATTACTGGAGTTGAAGACTACTGTATTACATAAAAACAACTAAAAGACTTTTATTTAGGAGCTTATTTCCCCTAAAGATAAAGAAATTCTTTAAAGGCAAAATAGTTGCATTGTGCTTCGTTCTAAAAAATAACTAACAATGGGTTGAAAAAGAATTTGCATACATATAATCTAACGGATAATATAATCTTTAAACAAACATTATAAACTACACTTGGAAACTTGCAGAAATGGCTACTTGTGTCAATCTGTCTTCACCAATGTCATAGAAAGTGCAGTGGGTTTGACGAAAAAGAATTTGTATAGAAAACAGAGGTACATACCTACACAGAGAAAATAATTTGTCTTGTATCATTTGGTAAATCAACATATAATTCTAAAAATTAAGAATGTTTTACAGTGCCCAACATTTACCTGTTGAAAAACATCTGCCCCTTCATCATAATCCACTATTGTGAAAAACAGTTTGTTTGAAAAAGCAGATGAATAGCGCCATGAATTAGCCAGCACTTGATATTCTTCATTTGCTTGCCTGTTAAGGAAAAGAAACAAATGTACATCCATGTGGCATTCGCTGGTAAAAGATTCCATATCACCAGCTGCAGGGGTCAGATGAATTACACTTGCAGTATTATTCTCACCACCAACATTATCAATTTTTAAAGGTTTCACCTAGTTATGCAAATCTTTGGTTCAAACTCACCTGCTCCAAAATTAGAAATGTGTTACATCAAACCATACCAAGAGACATCCCAAGATGATGTCAATAAAAAGTAATGTTTTCCATACTTTAAATTCTCAGAAAACAGAAGTGGTCTGAGTGGCAAGAGTCACACAAATCTGCCAACAGATCCACTGCAAGGAGGTGCGTTGCGTGGCCCTTGAGTACAATATCATGATTTACTTGTTGGAGACAGTTGCACATAAGGAAGTCTGAGACTTGTCAAAAAAATAACACAGAAACGTGACAGTAGTAATCTTCCTAAAATAGCAGAGTCATAGAAAGAGACGTAGAAATAGCTAAGCACTGGGAAAACAATTCTAAAATGAACAGTAAGCCCCTAAGTATATAGATTATAAATATACTATACACTGTTTAGGAAAGACAGACCAACAAGGCGAGGCGGTGGTGTTGCTCTTAATGTGCAAGAGCAACTGAAATGTATTGAGTTCTGTTCGGGGGGGAGGAGGAACAGGTTGAAAGCTTATGGATAAGAATTAGGAGATATGCAAAGGGGTGTGAAACTGTTGTGGGAGTCTACTATAGACCACAAAACCAGGAAGAAGATGTTGATGAGGCCTTCTACAGAAAAGTGGAGGTAGCATCTAGAACACACTCCTTGGTACTCATGGAGACTTCAGTCATCCTGATATTTGTTAGGACTCCCACACAGCCAGGCAAGGTCAGTCAAAAAGGCTCTTGCAGTGCACTGGTAATAACTTCTTAATGCAGGCAGTGAAGGAACCAATGAGAAGAGGTGCACTGCTGGACCCTGTATTAATGAATAAAGAAGGACTGGTTTGGGACATTAAGGCTGGGAACAGCCTTGGAGACAGTGACAGTGGTGGAGTTCAGTGTTCTACAATGTAGAAGCAGGGCAATAAGGATTACAACCCTGGACTTCCACAGGGCTAACTTTGCACTTTTCGAAGATCTACTTGCAGGAATTCCATGGGCTAAGACTCTGGAGCGCAAAGGTGCCCAAGAAAGTTGGTCAATTTTTAAATACCACTTCCTCCAAGCCCAAGATAGGTGCATTCCCTTGCATAAAAAAATGTGTAGACAAGCTAAGAGTCTTGCATTGATGAGCAGGGGGCTACTGAAGGAAATCTCATGGAAGAAGGAAGTGGATAGCTCATGTAAGAAGGGACTTGTCACTTGGGAGAAATATAGGGAGATAGTCAGGACATGTAGGAAGGCAGTAAGGAATGCCAAAGCCCTCTCAGAACTAAAACTAGCAAAGGAAGAGAAAAAAAAATACCTTCAAATACATCAATAGTTAAAGGAACACTAGGGGAAGTGTGGGCCCACTGCTGAATGAGGCAGCAGCCCTGGTAACTGAGGGTGCAGAGAAGGCAGAGCTCCTGAATGCCACCTTTCCTTCGGTCTTTAACCCTGGACCAGCCCTCAAGAACTCCAGACCCCAGATGTAGGAGAGAAAGCCTGGAGGAGAGAAGATTCTCTGCTAGTCAATTGAGGCTGGGTTAGTGATCAATTAAGAAAAATGAATATACATATATACGTTATGTATATATGAATATACATAATATATACATAAATAATATACATATAATGTATACATAACACATAAGAATATTGAGACAACTGGCTGACATTGTCACTCTACCATTCTCCATCATCTTTGCTGAATCATGGCAAACAGGAGAGTTGTCTGAGGACTGCAGGAAAGCCAATGTCA